GAGAGGTGCTGCATAGATGAAAGCCCTGATTATCATCTAAAACAAATACATGTATTAAATGCCACGCTATAATATAGGGAATAACGCGTGACTTCAAAGTGCCGTGGTTCAGTTGCAAGGCTAATGTAAAATTGCCTACAAAAAGGCAAATATAATTTTCAGATCAGTTAATGACTTGCTACCCTTGTAAATGGTTTCAGTACATTTTTATTCTTTGCTTCTTTTGTTGAAACCCATTCTTAGCTTCATTAGAGCTCACGGATAATGCCAGTGTTGTTAGGAAGCCATGTGCTCAAACTATAGCAGAGCTGTGTGCTGTGTGTGACAATAAGACTCCAGGTCCTTCTCTATTTTGGTTTATGACCAGGATCTCTTTATTCTGTGGTCCATGTCAACATCATTAACCTGATGAAACAAAGCACAATCCATCAAAGAAGCTGAGAAAGTGGGACAGCACGGAAACTGGCTGAATCAGGTCAAGGAAGAAAATGCATTTCCAGTCCGTCACCAGACTTCCTCCCCTTCGGTGTACTTTTTCTGTCCCTCCATATCCTGCCCTCCTTTTCCTCCTTTCTTTCATACATTCGTCCCTTAGATCTTTTTGGCCTTTTAGTACACCTTTTCCTTCTAAACCTATGGCATTTTGTGTAGCTTGCCTCTTCTAATGTGTCCCTAAATTCAATGCCGTCCGTCTTCTTAAAAGCAAGTTCAGGGGGCCGGTTGGTTAAGAGCGCAAGCTCTGAGCAACAGGGTCATGGGTTCGATTCCCACATGGGCCAGTGAGCTGCACCCGAGCTGAGCTGCCGCTGAGCTGTCAACAGGTGGCAGGATGGCTCAGCTGGTGAGAGCACATGCTCCTAATAACAAGGTTGCCGGTTCAACTTCTGTATGGGATGGTGGGCTACGCCCACCCGCAACTAAGATTGAACACGGCACCTTGAGCTGAGCTGTCAACAGGCAGCTGGATGGCTCAGTGGTTAGAGTGTGTGCTCTTAGCTACAAGGTTTCCAGTTCAACTCCCATATGGGATCATGGGCTACGCCCACCTGCAACTAAGGTTGAACATGGCACCTTGAGCTGAGCAGCCTCAAGCTGCTGCCGGGCTGCCGGATGGCAACTGGACTTGGAGCTGAGCTAGCTGCACCCTCCACAACTAAGATTAAAGGACAACAACTTGTCTGTTCCTCTTCCCCAATTCCCCAATAAAATCTTAAAAAAAAAAAGCAAGTTCATGAACGTGGGGTATGAGATACACAGACGTGTGAATGAGCCCTCCCCTTCTCACCACCATCGGGAGGTGAGTGGAGTGGAGTGCGCCTATAGTAGGCAGCTGCCATTCTGTGTTTCCAGTTTGTCTGTCCAGCATCTGAGCCCCATTCCTGAAGTGGGGAAGCACACCTTGCATATAAACTTAGTGGGGTGCATGCCCCTCCCACTGTAGAAGTGGAGAGGTCTTCCCTGTCTCTCAGGTGCACCCCTCACCAGCACCAACTGGCCATGGAGTGGCCAGTGACCAGGGTGAACTACTTGGACTCCCCGCATGGGATGTGAGGCCAGTGACACAGAAATGAAAGGGTGCTGAGAGTCATGTCATGGCAGCCACAGCGGCCCAGGGGTGGCAGTGACTCAGCAGGGGACAAATCTGGGACTGGAGGCTGCAGGGGTGGCCCCAGTAACAATGTCCACGGATGGCAGAGTCCAGAGCCGAGCATCCCTGCTCCGTTGCTTGCCCCACTGAGCTGTCTTGGCCCCCACCCATCTTCCTGAGTCTCATTTCTAGCTTTCTGTCAATTCTTTGAGCCCCCAAGTTCCATCCAATAAATTCCTTCTTCTTCCATGAAATAGCCTGGGTTGGATGTCCATATCGTATGATCTAACAACTCCACCATCGTGTATACCCAACAGAAATGTGTACGTATATTCACCAAAGGAAATATACTATGTTCATAGAAGCACTATTCACAATAACCCACACTGGAAATCACCCAAATGCCATGTGGAAAGGATAAACAAATAATGATATGTTCACACATTGGAACCCTGTGCAGCAACGAGAGTGAATGAACAGTCCTGCAGCTATACACCACGCGTGGCATGGGCCTCACGAGATAAGGCAAACACGTGCTGTACAATTCCATTTCTGTCAAGTGCGACCCCGGCAAAGCTAATCTCTGCTACTGTAAGTGGGGGTGTCAGTTGCTCTGGACGGGATGGTGACCAGAGGGGCACAAGGCGAGCCTCTGGGATGTTCTGTTTCTGGACCTGGACACACTGGGTGTGTTCAGTTTGTGAAAATCCTTCGAGCTGTACACTTTGGATTTGTGCACTTTCTGTATGTGTGTTACACTTCAATAAAAAGTTGGGTTTTGTGGCTAGCTGTCAAGAATCCTGTTATTTTTTTTCTTTTCTGACACCTTACTCCTTCAGGTATCACATCATTTGTGGGACATTTAACCCAGTTATCAGACACCACTTCCAGGGGGAGGAAATGCATCAAAGGCACCAGCTGGCTTGGCGAGCGTGTGTCCTCTGAATGCAGCCCTGGCCCTCCAGCCACCCAGTCCTTAGATACACTGAGGCAAAGGGCATCTTTGACTCTGCGCCCACCCTTGGGGCTCTAGGCCCCCTCCCAATCCTCGGATGGTTTCTGAGGGCGCGGCCTCCTTTGCTCTCAGCTACCACGTGCCTCAGCCATTCTTCTCACAGCCCTGACATGTTCAGTCCCAGGGTGATCACAGCGTGGCTTCACACTNGCCTTCTCACTGCCTTTCCTCTGTGCTCATTCACAGAGAGAGCTTTCTGGTGTCTCTTCCTCTTATAATCACACCCAATTCTGTGGGATCAGGGCCTCACCCGTATGCTCTCAGTTTACCGTAATTACCCCTCCGAAGGCCCTGTCTCCAAATACAGTCACATTGGAGGTTATGGCTTTAACATCTGAGTTTTGGGGGATACAATTCAGTCAAAAGATTTAAATATAACAAAATCATAAAAGTACTAGGAAAATGTTTTTATAAAATATGACTTTGGAAAGGCCAAGCATATCACAATATCCAGTTCATAAAGGAAAGCTTGGACTGCATTTAAAAAAATTTTTATGTGGTAAAAATCTCCCAATCAACACAGTAAGAAAAACATTTCCTGAATAACAAGGGGTTAAAATTGAAAAGGAGCAAAATCAGGGAGATCATCATGTTCTGACAGGTCACTGGCAGACCATTAAAGGTCTGGTGAAGTCTGGGGAAGGGATGTAATTAAGATGATAAATGATAGTAAGGTCAAAAGAATGACATTTCTAAAAGAAAATAAATATAAATTAGGTCGTTTGACCCAGCCAAAGGTCCACAGGCTGTGCTTGGAGATTTGCCTTTCAGTATGTCTCGGTGAACTCTGTACTTACCCTTCCTCACTCCAGCTTCTGCCAGTTGAACAGTTTAGGTTTCACCCTTCTCTTCATTTTCTCATCCTCTACCAGAAACCTTTGTAGCTCTCGCCCAGACCTTTCGAAACTGTGATAAACTTTCTACTGTCAAATTTAAAAAAAAATTCAAAGAAAGGTCAATAGGAGTGAACAATTCTAGAACAGGTGTCAGAAAAAAAAAGAGAAAAATACTTGAAGTAAATCAAAGAGTAGACCACAAAACCAGA